AGATGTAGAAAATAAAGCAAAGTGTTCAAAGATCCTCGGCTTAGCCGAGAAAAATTATCAGCCATTCCAGAATTCAGAAGACCTCATCTTCAGATTTCTGGGGGGGCAGAGGGAAATAGAGAAATGGCACAACTGATCTAATACCCTTCAGCTCAGCCGAAGTTTGATACTTATGTCAGTTTTTTCACAAGTTGAAAACATCCGAGTACAAACGGCAAAAAGAAGTCTCAGCAGAAATGATTCTCGCTAGCCGAAGTTCTGCACTTAGCAAATATTTGAAAGATCATTCAAAGAAAGCAGTAAAGTGCGAAGACTGGTAAAGCGAAGAGAAAAAAAATACACAAGAAAGCTGAGAAAGTGAACTTCTTTGAAATAAAAATGTTGAATTACAAAAATAGTCGGCAGCCGCCCACAAGCGGAAAGTAACAGCTGCCGAAATACGTACAGGCAAAATAAAAATATAATAAGCTGTTGTACGATAAGGCAAGCTGAAGCAAAAAAAAAACAAAAGGCAAAAATTCAGAAAGCGGCAAGTCTAAAGTTGAGCGCATGATGAACCGCAAGATTCTGAAGACGACTGCCCGAGTTCCTATGCTTCAGCCTGAGGATCAGACTGATCAGCTTCATTGGGCCCAATGGTGGTCTCAGCTCCAGCAGCAGAAGAAGCAGGCTTTGCACTTTGCCGAGCCTCCCTTTCCCTCTGCTCAGCCTCCAACTCCATCCTCTCAGCTTCTTCCTCGGCTTCCTCAGCCTTAAGGATTTCAGCTTCGATTGGAGTGGCATACTTCATGTGAGGGTCTTCGGGATCTTGGACCCATTCAGCACATTTGGACCAGTCCAGCTTCGGCTCAGCATGAAGGCAGACCCTTCGGCACACTCTGAACCCGTTTCTAAAACCCATTTCATACTCTTCTTGGGTATAGATACGGACTTTGAGTAGAGCCTCAGCATCGGCCAACTTCTTCTTCGTCTCCTCCAAGTCTTCCTCGGATCTCTTCAGCTCATCGACGAGCTTGGAGGAGGAGCCTTTCAGCTCGGTAAACTCTTGCTGAACCCGGGAAGCCTCGGCCAGAACTTGGACCATTTCTTCCTTCTTGGCAGTGAGCTGATCCTCAGCCTCTTGTAGCTTAGCTCTTTGAGCTTCAGCAGCAGCAGCAGCCCTTGAGAGTTGGACATCCCTAGCTTGGAGCATCTCTTCAGCAGCCATTCTGCTGGCTTCAAGAGATTCTAGCTGATGCTGCACTTCAGCCTGTGCAGCAGCTCCTTGGATTCGGCTCTCGATAGCAGCCTTGAACTTGGAGATGTCCACCCCCAGGTGCTCTTGGAGGAATTTTTCCCCTTCCATCAGTGGGGGAAAAACTTCCTTCTCCATAGCGTCGCAGAAGGTCTGGAGGGCTTCAGCAGCCTTTTTCTCGTACTCCTCAGCCTTCTGCTGCTTCTCTTCAGCTGCTGCCTGCTTCAGCTTAGCAAGCTTTAGCTCTTCCTCGGCTACCCTTTGATCGTGCTCGGCAGCGTCCACCCTATCTTGTAGGGAATCTATCAGCTCTACAGTGAGAGTCTGATTGTGCACGAACTGAAAACAGGGGCACAAGTTAAAAAAGTAAAAAATAATAGCTGAAAGGTTGAGTTCAGAAAGAAATCAAGGCAAGGAGAATTACCTGCATCATCAGCAGTTGGTTGGACCTGGCAGGGTCAGGAACTGATCTGCTGGATTCGCCCATCCCAGCAGTGGCCTTCAGCGACCAAATCCTTGCCCTATCTACTTCGGACAGGCCAGCAAAATCGCCGAAGTAGGCTGCAGCACCTTCTCGGTTCTGACCCCATATGAGGTCCCAGATGTGGTCTGGGACTGGAATTCGGGGGGCCGAGAAACCCATTTCTCCAGACTGCAGCGTCTGGAAGGAAGGGAAGGATGACGATGGAGCCTCTTTAGCTTTGGGTGGCTCAACGTCCTCCTCCTTCTCAGAAGAGTCAATTATTGTGACCTCTTCTTCTTCAGGTGTGAGGACGAAGGCCCCAACCTCTCTGGCAATGTCCGCCGTGAAACCCTCAGCACTGGGCATCACGGCGTCTCCATCCTTGTCCTCGGCGGCACTCTCTCGAGCTTCTTCCAGAACCTCTCCCTTAGGTTTGGGAGTTCTCTGATCCACCTCCATCTCGGGGGGTGGCGGAGAGGCCCTTGGGGGTGATTGAGGCGGTGGCCGGGGAACCCTCGGCGATCCATTGCCTTCCTCGGGTTCCCTTATTTCAACGCCGATGGTCATCGGCCTCCGCTGAAAGTCATGCGGGCCGATGATGGCCATTCTTCGGCGCCTCTTCTGAAGCGGCTGCTCGTCCATACCCGAGTCTGAAGACTCTTCTTGTACTTGGTCTTCGGGACGAACAGGGGCTTTCCCTTCCCTGTGTCTGCTGCTCTCTTCAGACTGTAAAGGGCAGGCAGGGGGAAGAATGTGAAAAAAAAAAAAAAAAAAAAAAAGAAGAAAGACAAAGTTAAGTCTAAAGGCTCACCGAGGTCTTCAGCAAAGCCTCGTCTTCTTCAGCTGCCCTAGCCGCAGCTTCTTCAGCAACTCTGGAGGACCCTTCTCCACCTTCACAAGCTTCAATAACCCGTGCAACCTCTTCGGCTGTACGGGCAGCTTCAGCTTCTTCTTCCAGCAGCTGAAACAAGGGATCTCTCTTCTTCCACCAAGGCTTCTGCCTCTGATACAGAGCAACAGCCTCAATTTGGAAGTGGGAAGAGTCTAGGTGAACCTCTCGGCGCCTTGGTTCAGTGATAGGGGGAGCCCGATCAGTTACGACTCGTTCTCGGTTGACGCCAAGGCGAGCGTAATCAATGCCGACGTTGGTCTCGTCCCGTTCTGAAAAAGAAAAGGGGAGAAGTCAATTCAGTTAGTTCGGCACATCACAAGAAAGCAAAATAAAAGAAGAAAAGAGATAATTAAAAGGCCTCGGCCCCAGCCGAAGAAGATTACCATCCCTAAACTTTCGGCTGAGGCCGACAGCTGCCAGCATATTCTCTTGGAAAACATAGTGCGTATCGGGGAGCCAAGTCTCCGGGATATGCTGCATTCGGCCGCTGCCTCCCCGGTTCGGCAGCTTGCCGAAGATGTTCTGCTGATTAAGGTTCGGGTCTGGCCCGCTATCTTCGGGAGGACCTAAACTTCCCATATCAGGATCCGGCTCGGCAAGATACCGGGGAGCGCTGAAAACGTAAGGGTGGCTCGGCTCCGTGGGTGCCCTAACCCAAATCCATTGACCTCTCCAGTCCTTGTCTGAAGAGTCGTTCGGCCACATGGTTAGGAACGGGGGCCGAGACTCAATCCGATACCACCCAGAGCCATGGCTTCCGTGCCCACTCTGAATATTTGGCACTAGCCGATGGAGCTTTCTGAAGCAGTGCAGGTTCGGCACGTATCTGAAGAACTTGCAGACCCATAAGTATGTCATCACCCTTCGGATACTGGTGGGGGTTAGCTGACATAGGGAAATGTTGTAATGGATCAGCAAGTCTCGGACGAAAACGTCCAAAGGGAACCTCAGCCCATACTGAAGCTGTCTCGTGTACACCCCCACATACCCCGGGGGTGGACGATGGATTCTATCGGATGCTGAGGGCATTCGGCACCAATATCCATCAGCTTCAAAAATGCCGTAGTGCAACTCAATTTGCTCGGCAAACCGGTACTGATCAGCATTCTCCACCCACCATGAGTAGGGGCGGTTCTTTATCATGGCCGAAGCTACTTCGGCATCCTCCCACTCTGAAAACCCTGGGAGGATATCCCAAAGGACAGCGGGAACTTCATCATCCCGTCCTGAAGCGCTCACCCCCTCAGCCCTCTGAGGAGGAGCCGAAGAAATGGGAGTCGCCCTAACCCCTTCAGCAGGGTCAGACTCTGTCCTTCGTCCATTCCAGGTCCCAATCCTGTCCCTGGGATCGGGGATTAGCCTTGCTCTTCTTGGAGCACGGGCTCCACCTCTAACTCCCCTCACCATTGACGAATTTCGAAGGAAAAAGTCGAAAAAGGGGAAAGAGTGCAAAGTCGAAGAAAAATGAAATAAAATCAAAGGAATTTACCTTGATCTGAAGCAAAAGTCGCCGATTTACGAATTGGTAGTGACAAGTCTCAGCTTCTAAGCTTAATGCTCGGGGAATTTGCGAAGTTTTGATGCGGGCTCTTGAGCGTTCTTGAGAATTCTGGGTTTGTGTTGATGAATGAGTGGGGAGAGAAGACGCGCCTCTATTTATATCTCCAGAAATGGGAATTCAAGGAGTCTGCGTTTCAATTTCTCTCAAGCACCCCACTAAGTAACCGTTAAACACACGACCTTGCAGTTAAATCGCCCACTACCCATCCAACTTCCGCAATTATCCACATTAACTGTTGTTATCTCATTAATCATGGGTTAATTACGGTTTAAATTCACATTTTTGGATTAACAAATCATTCACTTCCCTCCTTTTCTGATTAAATCAAACCCGACCCGTCATCCTTCCAAATCGGGTCTGGGGGGCAAGTTGTTTGGGTCCAATTTAGTCCAATTGGGCCTGGTCACTGAATGATCCAATTAAAAGCCCAAGGTTAAGGTTCAACTCTCCAAATGTGCTAAAGTCAAAAATCAACATCCTCAAAGCCATGTCAAGGTCAGTCAACGGCCCAATCAGCTTGGCCCAGCCCAACTGACTTCCGGGCCCAATCCGCCTCCTTCATTAGCCAAGGTATAAAAGCCAACAATTTGGTCAATTCTTGGTAAGACAATAAAGCCTCAAGCAACTAAACTCTTGCACAGCTTTCTCTCTCTAATATACTGACTTAAGCATCGGAGGGGCCTTCCTCGGCGTCCCCCCCGAGGCTAGTTTACGTGTATTTGTTGTGCAGGAAACCCTCGGCTCCTGCGTCGTTCGGACCGAGACCAAGTTCCCTCAAGATAAAAGGATCTTCCGAGATTCGATTGTTTTCATCCGAAACAATACGTAATAGATTTTTACACAGAAAACGTAAAATGACAGTTATATCTGAACGAGAAATTTTAAGTTCAACACATAATAATAATTATACACAAATGAATCAAAAGTTATAGTAGCTCAGCATTTGTATTGTGTTAGAACTGGAAAAGGAGAAAACTTTTGAGTAAAGAAAAAAAAAGCCTTTCAAAGATACGCTTCTAACGCACCATTTGCCGTCAGAGAGCACATCATGCAGAATCTACTCAGAAGTAACAATCCCACTAAACAAATCTAGTAAAAGAAAGAAAAATTGATGAGATCATACTGTATTCCTGTGATATAGTGAGTTAAGCTTCAGACTGGCTTTGTAATTCTGGAATGTGATGCGCTTCTGCTCCAACTGAGAAGGATGTTTCAACAAAGGCCGAGGAAAAGGGGTTCATCGCTGACCAACCTTGGCGTTTTCAGGAACCACGATCACATTCAAGATCTTACCAGGAACGAAGATCTTCTTTTTGATGGTTTTGCCATCAATATACTTTGACAGCTTTTCGTCTGTGGAGGCTAATCTGAAAGCTTCATCTTCAGTACATGTTTCTTCTACTTGTATGGTTCCTCGTGTCTTTCCATTAACTTGAACGGGGAGGACTGTTTTGGAGTCTTTCAAATACGCTGGATTAGCCTAGAATCAAGAACTTTCACAAGTAAGAATTTAGAAGAGCTAGTATCTGTTCACAGCTAGCTTTGTTTAATTAGGGCCATGTATAAGTCTGAAGCACCCCAGTTTACGCTAAGCACCTCTATAGCATGGAGTTTCATGAAGAAATTACCAAGAAAAAGTAACTTGTACAATGAATTCTTTGGCTATCATAAGCAAATAAGGTGCAATAAACCATGCAAAATGCAAGTTGTGAAGCATAATACTTCGTAGTTGCTATGAACTTGAAAAGAATAGTATTCCTTCCGTCTCTAAATAAAAAAATAAACATTAAGATACGAAGACTGTCCTTTCTCTGTTTTAATTTGTACATCTTCATTACACCAATATGGAAAAATTCCAAGTTCAACTAACTAGTTTCCAAAATTGACTAATATTAGGACAGCCTAAATTAACTGTGTCCTATTACTAAAGACGTTGAGAGCATTGATCATTATGTGCATCATAGTTGCAAGTAACAATGTACAGAGTACATAATTTTGAAAACTGAAGACAAGGGAAGACTTGATTTTACCTTTGGGAAAGGCTCATATGCAAGTGAATTTGAGTTTCCAAGGCGAAACCAGAGTTCCTCAGCCATATGAGGTGCATATGGTGATAGCAACAGAACAAATGCCTCAAAGATTGACCTTGGATGTCGGTCCCACTAATAAGAAGAAAACAATGAAGTCATGAAAAGGCAATAACAATCATAAATTTAACTCAATATATATCATGCTTGAAATACTATTGTTTGAAATTGGATCAAACACATCAGAACCACTTTTTTTAGGTTAGGTCAGATAAATTTTGGTTCATAGAAACAAGAAGGTGAATTTTACTTATCACATAAACGACATCCAATCCTAAATGTTAAACTCAAAGATTTTCCACCTAAGTTCCAGAAAGAAACAGATATATGCTCACAGGAACGAAGGGCGAGGAAGTAAACCGGTCAAACCTTGTATGCAGCATTAATGAACTCCATCATTGCCGAAATACCAGTGTTAAACCGGGTTGCTTCAATTTCCTCAGTGACCTACATGAAAGCCAATAATGCCAGTGACTATTTCATACGAATAAACAAGTTTTTTAGCCATTATCATATAGATTTCATGAGACCAGCAAACAAATGAAACTCAGCTTATAGAGTAATCGGAACAATATCATTTTTTAATATGTATTGCATGTTTTTTAATTTTGACAACATATATTCCATTTTTATCTTTAAACATGATTCTTCTGCACACTCCCATCAGAAATAAACTAATGTATCCATCATTCCAAATTACAACAGAGAACAACTTTTGACCTTTTCAATGCATTTATGAAGCGAACGAAGTTGTTCTATGGTAGGATCTTCATCCACGGCAATTGTTCCATCATTAAATGAACCATCAGATAGAGGTGAGCCCACAATTAGTCTCCATACTCTCCCCATAAATCGATAAACACCTTCGATTCCACTAGTATTCCATGGCTTTGAGTCTCTGAAATAATCAAAATGGATTTGCTAGTTAATACATAAACTTTTTATCAATCCCCTTATAAAATCCAGATTTTTGACAAATGATTAAAAAAATGACTAAACAATTTCAGTGACTAAAACCAACCTTAATGGTCCCATGAACATCTCGTACAAGCGGAGTGAGTCAGCACCATATTCGGCAACCACGTCCTCTGGATTAATGACATTACCCTTGCTTTTACTCATTTTATAAGCTCGAGCAATAAGCCGAATACTTGGATTCTCTTTCAACACAAAAAATTCACCTGACTTCATAACCTTAACCCAAGCAAAGAGATTCTATCATATTCTGATTGTTTGAGGAATTAAAAAAAAAATGGCAAATATATTTTGATGAGATACTAAATTGATTGAGACGACTAGGTCTATGAATACAAAAATACATACTTTTTCCTCAGGAATTTGTTCTTGACAAAGATCACCGGACATGGTAGCTGAATCTGCAGATATAAAATTTCCATTTGTGTCCTTTAGTGCCGTATACTGGACCTGGAAATTTAGACAAAAAAATAGTGAAACACTGGAGCAACATTATGTCATTAAACCACTGAAGTTTCATACCTCTCCTAAGATAATTCCCTGGTTTATGACACACTTGAATGGTTCCTTTGTAGACACAACACCAATATCATAGAGAACCTGACAAATGGAAAAGATAAAAGTTGCAATCAAATGACACAAGGACAGAATCAGATATGATACTTCAACAAAGGATGAAACCATTTCTTCAAGAAACTTACAACACTTTCTACACCTCTTAGATATAAACATATTATTTAAGTTAAATTGGATAATATTCTCAGATCAAAGTAGTATGAAAAGAACTTTATCAGCATCTAAAATTTCAAAACAGAATTCCCAAGGCTCAATATCTAAGAATCTCATAAAGCATGAACTTAGCCAAAGAAAACCTTGACACCTTGTGCCAAAACCTCGCATAAAGTAAGTGAAGGACTGCATGCTCAGCACCACCAACATATACATCAACTGGGCCCCAATACCTGCATGTTTACAACTGCCAGAAGGTAAGGCCATGGAGTATTCTTCATGCAATTCAAAACATGCATTTTTTTTAGATTATATTTTATTAAGTACTACGTATCATAAACACCTGACCTTTCTTTTTCTTTGTTGACTAATTCCTTTGAATTTTCTGGATCCATAAATCTCAAATAATACCTGTAAATAGGACAAAAGGTTATACCAAAGAGTGAAAACATAACAGTAAAGTCACGCTAGAATTTAACATTTTAAAATTTGCTACAACTGAAAGTCCTTTCATTTTCTCTATGAATCATATAGAATGCCAACCAAATAAGAAGGCAGATACAGAAAATAAGTGCAAAAAAAAAAAAAAGAGACATTACCAGCACGAGCCAGCCCACTGGGGCATGGTGTTTGTTTCTCTTCTGGCTGGCTTTCCTGATATGGGGTCTACTGTTTGTACCTGTTACAAATCAAAAAAGAGCTTATACCTATCAGGAATGCAAAAGTGGCTGAGACTTGTTCATTTTATGTGGAGAAAATTTCACATGAATGGAGAAAATTATAGTCCTACACAGACTATATTTTGCAAATCAAACAACTTACAAAAGGGAGTCACATGATAAATTATATTAAGGCAAGTGAACTCATACCCAAGATGCCGCTTTGGATAATGGCGGATCACCCGTCCCAGTAGGAGTAAAATCATCCAACTCAGGAAGTGTCAAAGGTAATTCACTTTCAGGAAGAGAAACACTCTCACTGTTGTCATCCAAAAATATTACAGGTATAGGCTCCCCCCAATAGCGCTGCCTAGCAAAAAGCCAGTCTCTTAACTTATAGTTCACCTGAATAACCAGACCGGATTACAAAAATTAAAAAGAAATCAAACATAAAATTTGTCTGTTTCAGCTTTCTCAGAAATGGTGACAGCTTTCCATTTATAACTACTACAAGTGACTAGGTGATCAAGTGATCAACTTTAGAGAAAGGGAACAAACCTTTTTGTTTCCATTTCTAGTTTCCTCAGCCCACTGAATTACTTTTGCAGAGGCTTCTTTGCTAGACAAGCCATTGATATCAAGCCCTGTTGCCGAACTAGATGAGTTCATGATAATACCATCTCCAGGATAAGCCTTACCTTGACTGCTGCCATCTTCATCATCTGGCTTGACAACCCAATGAATTGGTATATCATACTTTGAAGCAAATTCATGGTCACGTGTATCATGCGCAGGAACAGCCATTATAGCTCCAGTACCATAGCTGCAGAAACGACCATGCATGGCAGCTAACAGCTAAGTATACAGATTAAAGTATATATAGCAACATTGACAAATGCACAACAAGATCCTCAACGACTGCAGTTACCACTGCAATTTAAGTGAGGCCTAAAAAATATATTATTGAAGGAAAACTCGGCCACACCTTCCTAGAACATAATCTGCCACCCATATGGGAATGGCCACTCCGTTGGCAGGGTTCTTTGCATAGCAACCAGTAAAGACTCCAGTTTTCTCTTTTTGGAGCTCAGTCCTCTCAAGGTCACTCTTTCTTGAGGCAAGCTCTTTATACTCCTCAACCTATTTTAAGAGTAATACAACTCAAACTTTAAATAACAAGTAGAAGCAGATATTTTATTCAGATAAAGAATATAACAGGCATACATATTTGGCTTGGTCTGTGGATACTAGTGATTCCAACAAGGGATGCTCCGGTGCCAGCACAAGATAGCTGCAAATAAAAGATAGATCTATCCAAATGATTATAAATCCTTATAGTATATGATTAGAACACTACTAGAGGGATAACTTCCGGATACATACGTTGCTCCAAAAATAGTATCTGGCCTTGTTGTATAAACAGTAATTCCAACCCCTCTTTCGCGTCCATCAACAGCAAGCACCGGAAATTCCAGCTCAGCCCCTTCTGACTTCCCTATCCAATTTCTTTGCATTTCCTTTAAACTTTCGGGCCAGTCAAGCTCTTCCAGATCACGAAGAAGGCGGTCTGCGTACTCAGTGATCCTGAGCATCCACTGCCTCATTGGCTGCTTGTAATAAACAATGATACTGAAATTATGAAAACATTCAAAGGAAATAGAAGTAAGACAACATAAGAAGCAAACACAAGGGAAACTTAGCATTCTCGACTTTTGTTTCCACTATACCTTTCGTATTACTGGATGACCCCCACGTTCACTGACACCGTCTATTACTTCCTCGTTTGCCAACACTGTGCCAAGAGCAGGGCACCAATTGACAGGAACTTCTGCCTGAGAATCATAGTTACCCCATAAAAATCATCTTGTGGGAGGGGGCTATACATGTGTAAAAAGTTTTGGTATGACACTAACCTGATAGGCCAATCCTCTTTTCAGGAGCTGAAGAAATATCCATTGTGTCCATCTATAATATTCTGGTTCTGTTGTAGAGATTTCACGATCCCAATCATATGAGAAGCCCAATGATTTAAGCTAAAAAGCAGCAAGCGTAAATAATAGAAGAGTTACAAACAGCTAAAGACAATGCATATTATCTAATAAACCTATTCTTGAGAATTTGCAGTGTTAAGCATCAAAATATTTAAGTCAACATTACATGCAACAACATTTGTTATATTTTCAGGTGACAACACCCTGAACAGGTGTGGTTTCCAAAGTACGATTAAAGAAAGTAACTGACCTGTGATCGAAAACGTCCAATATTCCTCATAGTTGTGATTTTAGGGTGGGTACCTGTCTGTCACACATTTAAGCTGATGACCATAATTTGTAACAAAAAGGTATTGTAAACTAACATGTGATAAACCATGTCCTAGGATTTAAAATAAAATCAAAATCAAAACATACATCAATAGCATACTGCTCTGCTGGCAACCCAAATGCATCCCATCCCATTGGATGCAAAACATTGAAACCCTGCATCCTTTTGAATCTGGCGAGAATATCAGTAGCTGTATATCCAAGTGGATGGCCAACATGTAACCCAGCTCCGCTGTAAAATGTAATATTTCTCCATGTAAAATTCAGCAGAAAATCAAGATGCAATATATTATGTCACAGGGATATTCATACATTGAAAGACAAAAGAAGTTATCTTAGTCCAAAATAACAGGTTCAAACAGAAGCCAGTCATCCTGAGTAAGAAATTAAATTCAATACCTAATAATACCATTAAGATAGCTAACCATTTATAATCTAAATTATTACAAGTGACATCAAATTTCTAACTAAGGAGATAGTTTATAAAGACAACTTATCATTCAAATGTATGAGAAATTAAGTATTTCAAACAATCTACAACTCCTCAGCTCCATATAATTGATTACTTAACTAACATTTTCCATTCCGCATTAAACCCATGTCATCATTTGTTGTTTGAAATAACAATGCACTATTACTCCGGCTCATCATTTCTACACAGTGGTAGCTTCCTAGAGCCAAAGCGATGCCCATACAGCAAATCAAGCTTCAAGGATCATACCATAATGTGAATACTTTCAATCACTACCTTAATGAACAATATTACCAGCTAAAACCAACTACAACTATTGCACCAAGAAATGTCATCAGTATCAATCAATCAATCCAAATTCTTTCCACATTATCCCAAAAGTGAAAAACAATTGTCAAAATGTAGTCTTACACCCATGTCAATTAACAATTGTCAAGTGCCAAAAATGAAACAGTATAAACTAATTAATTCAAAGTAGAAGCTCGTCCCATTTCAATTAATAGTCCAAATTACAAATTTTTAACCTTCAAACAGTCAATTAAAACTGTATATATGATCATTGCATTTACCAAAAGCATTTACACAGTAGCAAATTACAAAAAAATCTTACAAATTCAATAAAAAGATAAAGGAAAGGGTTTTACCTGGGGTAAGGAAACATGTCAAGAACATAATACTTAGGTTTAGAAGTATCAACATCATCTGGGGTTCTAAAAGTTTTATTATCCTCCCAAAATTGTTGCCATTTGGGCTCAATTTCATGAAATGGGTATGCCCTTTTAACTTGTTGCTCCTTAACTGTATCTTTCTCCTCTAATTTACCCAATTCACCTCTAATTTCACTAACACTTCTTCTAATTCTACTTCTAAGCTTCAATTTAAGACTTTTTTTACTACAAAAACCAAAATTAGTAGAAGAATTGAAGATGGGTTTATGAAAAAATTGATTTTGAGGTGAAAAAAATGGTGGGTATTTTAGAGAAGATGGTTTTAAGTGATGAATTTGTAAAGGTAGTTGAAGATTTGTCTCCATTTTTTTTGGGTGGAAGAAGGGTGGAGTTTCAAAGTAAGAAGATAATGCAACTTCCTTACATAGTTTGGTTTTTATTGGCGGGCTTTACATTGAAAGTGTATGTATGATATTCATAAAATGGGCTTTGGGACTTTGACATGAATTTGCAAAGTTTGTAGCCCAGCAATTGTGGAGGGAGGTGAAGCATTAATAACAAAGGTCTTTTATTTTTTATTTTTTTTTGGGGTGAAAATGATCAGAATTTAATTAATAGTTAAACCACCCCTCTGATGTAGCAAAAGCGTGTACAAACTCAACATTATACACATAAGTTAGATTGGTGACACAACACCCAAATAGTCATGCCATTTCTGGCCAAAAGAACTACAGTTTCCTTCAGATAAACTATCACTAGGATTGGGAGGGGGGTTACAAAGGATACATTTTGATAACCAATTGCTTCCATCTTTCCTTCTAATCTGGGTAGGAGTTAGACTCGACTTGGCTCGCCTGGCTTGGAAATCTGCTTCCCTGACTTGTGTCCTTGGAGCTTTCAAAATGCTGCTGCTCCCTGATTGTGGTATTAGGTCCCTGCACCAGATTGAGAATAGGTGGCCTTCATCAGGAGGAGAATTTATATCACAAATACTGTTGACAGATCTCTAACAGTCAGATAGGTTAAGAAAGTTCATCCAATTGCTCTCCCTGGCCCAATGGCAAGCTGCCAAAATGGCAAACAGTTCTGTCATGTAAAGAGTTTGGGGCAAAACAATGGCCAACTAGTCCCTAAACCCATTCCCCATAAGGGTTCCTGCATATACAGGCTATACCTGAAGATAAGGTGTTGGGAGAAAAGGAGGCATCCACTGAGATTCTTGTCATCTGACTAGAGGGGCTGGAGAGGAGGTGAGGGGTTGGGATTGATGGTATGGCTGGTCCAGAGTTGTTGGGGGGAAAGTAGAAGAGGTCTTTGATGATGTAGGTGGTAGAGGCCCAGAAGCTAGTAAGGGGTTTGGATTTGTTATTAAAGACCCAAGTGTTCCTTCTTAGCCATATGTTCATTAGAATGATGGGAAAGGAAAAGTTCTAGGGGATCCCAAAGAGACGCTGGGAGGTAGTGTTTAAGTTATGAAGAATCCAGGATTGTATGTCAGGTTGATCAAAGCTAGAAGGGGGGTTTTTCAGTCCCCATACTTCTCTTTCCCTTGGACAATCCCTTAGAACATGGATACCATCCTCGATGGTGCGAGGACATAAGCAATAGAATTGGGAAAGGGTTATGTGTTTGAGGAAGAGATTATTGCATGTAGGAAGTCTATCCCATAAGCATTGCCATAGAAACATTTGTGATTGGGGGTGGGGGATGTTGAGGTTCCACAGTTTATCCCATGGAATAACAGGGGCTGAACTGACCTTGGTTTACGGTAGTGTTTTAGGTAGTGGTTAGCGTTTAAACCAAGTTTAAAACATTTAGGAAAAAAATAAGTGTATTTGGTTAGATAGGATTCATGTAACGGTTAGTGGTAGAGATAGAGTTTATGTAGCTTTTGTCAAAATTTAATAATATTAGTGTTTGAAAACAGGTAGCTAGTAGCATTTGACAAATTTAGTTTACTTAAAAATATTATGCCTATTTTTATTGATTTTAATGTTTCAACCGCTATGGTTGTCAAACAATCATACAAGTACTATTAACTGCTACATTAACAACTATCATTTTCACACTACTAATTAATAGTTCGCTACTCTAACAACTACCTTCTACTCAACTACTAAAATACAATAGTAATATAAGTAGATGAGAAGTTTAGTCCAAATGTAATCGATTTCTAGGATAAATTTGACATAGTTTACAATTATAAAGTGTATTAATTTGGGAACTTTATTAGTAGTAGCATGATGATCACTAGAAATTAAAAGTTTTGTTGTTTTCCTAAGTGCTAGTTATTTAACAAATATAGGCTTTGTTCACTTCACCTTTAAAAAATAATATCAGTAAAAATTATTTCAGTTCAGCAAAAAAAATAATTTCAGTTTAGTAAAAAAAAGTTCGATTTAGTATAATTCAATAACTTTTAGAAGAAAATATAACAGAAAATTAGTAAAAATAATTTCAATTCTAGTAAAAATAATTTAAATTTAATAGAAATAATTTCAATTCCTATTTAAGGTGAAAAAAACGGGTATAGAGTAACAAACTAGAGGGAGTAAAATTTTGTCAAATGATTCCAGTTGCTTTCCACTGGGCCACTACACGTTCTTTATTTGGAATATGGATGGTTAGCGAAATCCCCGTGATATTAATACGTAGAAGTCGGTGAGATTCCTCAATTGAAATAAGTGGTTGCTTGATCTTATCAAATTAAAGTTTTAGCTTTGGATGTTTGTCGATCAATGTTAGTTTGATGCAAAAAGACCAAAAAGCATGGTTGATGTGACATACACTTGTCATATTTATGGGAATATTCATTACTTGACAAAGGGTAATCTTGTCTTTTCACTATGAAAACCTAAAGTTATCCTTGCTTTTGGGTATAAAAAGGTTGAAATAAACAATTTTCTTAAAGGTGTGTTGAAAGAGATGGAAGGTGGCTCTAGGTCTATGAGAAAGCAATTGAGAAGCATAGGATTTGGGTGGTTTTTCTTGAGAGTTGTAAGTTATTCCTCTTATTTGTATTTGTGATTGAGAATTGAAATAGTTATGAAACTATTATGATTTTTGAAACAGATCTATATATATATATATATTTTTCTTTTTTTTTGAAATTTTCAAATAAAAGTAAAAATGATTGAAAAGAGTATTGATTCACTTTAAATATGAAATTTTACTTGTAAAATTTGTTATGTATGTCATATGATTAGATCTATGGGAATGATATAGAGAAACATTATATTAGTGTTGAAATTTATATTTCTTCTTTCTTTTTTTTATATATATAAATAATTGAAAGCTCTTATTCTTTGATTTGTTAAGTCATCTATAGATGTCTATCACGCTTGTCAATGCATAACTTTAACCATCGTTAACTTTTAAAAAATTATAAAAGTTATATGTTGTAACACATTAACATTTAACGGAGATAGAGATGGTAATTATTTAGACGATTCCATTAAGATCTCACATAACCATAATTTCTATAATTTTCCTATTCATAGTGTGTATTGTGAGTAATATTTTACTACCTTTTATGAAGGTAGTACTATTTAAGTAATCAAGTTTAATAAGAGAATATATTATTTTGATATATTTTCTATAGAGATCTTATGATACTATTATTATATTTTAGTGATATTCTAAAATAGTAATGATATTCTAAGATAGTTTAATGATATTCTAAGATAGTTTTATGATAATTTAATATTATATATTGTTTAGTATAAACTATAAATATTGTCTTTATACACAAATGGTAAATGATTTCTTTTGGATTCAAGAATTAGGTTGTGCAAATGATTTTTAATCTATGCCAATCTAGTTTTCTTACCATTATTTGAAATGTGCTATTATATAAGATCAGAAAAGTTAAGTTATAGTAGAGTTTTATATTGTTTAGTTTATGTTTTGTAAACTCACAAATGGTAAATGAATTTCTTTTGCCTTCAAGAATTAGGTTGTGCAAATGATTTTGAATTTATGTCAATCTAGTTTTCTTACCATTATTTCACCCAAAACCTTTCTTTTATTTGATATATTTTTATAAATTTTTTCATCATATTTAAGTTTAATAGGACAATAATTGGTTTTTATTTTTTTATTAATACCCTAACTTCAATTTTGACCAATTTTTTTTTACTTTCTCCTGCCCTAAAAAGGAAATATGTGCTCCCATGAACCAAATAACACCCCAAGAGATTATTTGACTGGTTAGAACCATCCACTTTTATCTTTAAAAAGATCTATGAATAAAATTTTCGTTAAACATGACCAACTTTTGTCGAGCAATATACTATCAACAACTATTTCACAACCAATCTTTATCAGGTACATACCAAGGTTGTCACGCATATGTTTGACCTAGTATAATAATAATTTGGAAGAGGTTGAGATGATGGAGTAGTGACATCGCTTCCACCTCGTATTCCTAAAGTTAGGATCAAGCCTCATGGGACACATTTGAGGGATTTCCCTTATCCCCCTCAAATGAGCCCCTTTGTTCCTGTTTGTTTTATCCCATTTTGTAATTCTCCAATGCATATGTTTGAATGTTTGATTGATTATATTTGGATACCATACATTGAAATGGTTCTAAAAAAGTTACATGTTAAGTAGCAATAGACGGTATATGCATCTTGTTGTATAAAAGTCTTAAATAAATGCATGCAACTCCAAGGGCTGTTTATGTCAATTTTTGTGAATAATTTGTGTTATAATGAAATGTAAAGTATGATTTATTTCCAATTGTATATCTCATGTATTGGAGATTTGGAGAGATGGAATTAGTAAATAGGATGATGACTTGTATAGTCAATTAGTCTTCAGAAGTAATCCGTATATTAACATGTGGAACTTTTTGAAAGAATTTATGTATGATAATGTGAAAAAAATATTCAAATCTTATTAATTTGATTTTGTTCTCATTATTCTTATAACATAACTTGAGACCACATATCATGAAAAAGAAATATGTGTTCTTTTCTTCATTTGTTTCATCTTTACATTATTTCATGTCAGATTACTGATCAAAAATTCGACTTCACAGACACTGCTGATTGCCCCCTATATCTTCTGCTGTACAAAACTGGGGCTCGAACGCAAGGATACACATTGCTTGCCAAGAAAATCAATTTGGCTCCTGTTTTGATTGCAACTCCTCTAGATGTCTTATTGCTTGATTAGCTGCATGAAGAATCATCTTCTTGATCTGGTTAACATTGGAAGAGAAGCGTTAGTGACTTTGTATGATGAGATAATCTACATACAAACCACAGGCAATAAGAAGAAACTTGACTTTGTTACCTCCAGCTTATCTTCCCGAGCCTTGTGGAATTTTGGGAGTTTCCGGAACTCTTCTGTTAGCCGAAAACACTCTCCAATGTTCTCTGGTGAAACAAAATCTACAGCTACCTTTGTGCAGGACTGCAAAACGACCTTGTTATTAGGTACACGGTACATCAGCAAATGCCTCCTGTGATTTTGAGTTAAAAAAATTGGGGCAAGTAGTTTACCTTGAGATTTCGAACCTGATGTGGACAACCAGCAGGTATGAACACTGCCTCTCCAAGCCTTTGCTCAAATGTCCAGGGTTCAATACCTGAAAAGTTTGAGATGAGCATTTGTCTATATATTCTGATAAAAAATTAATATGTAATAATATGAAAATTGTGTGGCATACTAACCATATTCCTCCTTCAGCTTTCGCTTGTGCTCTGAGGTCAAGTAGAAGGACTGATCATGAATAGGATGGATGACCTGATCACATGAAGAATTAGAACTGTCATTTCCATATCATCATTGGGGCTGGTAAAGTGGTAATGCAAATTAATGTTGTGTTTAGTGAGGTTTAAGTTCTATGGTTTTCATGCAAAGAAAGAAACACAAAGCTCGAGATTTAAGGGAATGACAGAAGTTTTGAAGATTACCTGTTCTACAGGATTACAATAAGCATGTCTGAACTCCTTGGAGTGTTTCCTCAAATACATCTCTAACTTTGGTACATCTTCCCTCCTAAAAATGTCCCAAAGAGCAGCACCCTTGTCTGTTATGCCACACGTCTGAAGATCGAATTTCTTGGAGTCTGATAACTGCAATTCTCTTCGATCTTGAGTTTTGTGTTTCTTTTTGAGCGTCTCAATCGCAGACAATTGATCCTCACTAAAAGAAACATCAGCCGTATGCATTAAGATGTTTACCTGCACCAATGAAAAGAATTATAAAAATATATAAGCATGTAAATTGTCAATTACTAGTCTACCCAAGATTTCCCTTTGACCAAATGTAGACAGGGGAACTCTGTTTCTATAGATTAACATTAAGTTAATAATATCTTTTGTTTCCTTTCAGAAAAATTAAGCAGGTGATGTAACATACCGCATCAGACATGTCACAGTGAAGCTTTGTCACGGAATCTCCTCTTCCAAGCTCTTGAGCAGTACCATAAGCTATATACGTCTTTGGTCCTAAGTCAGGTTTGAGGATGCTTGAAGGTAAAAGGGTAGCAAGGTTCAGGATACCATTTCTAGGGTCAGTATACTCTTGAAGTGGTAATGCACTAATAAACTCATCACAATGCCTTGGCAGAAGATTTTCAAACTTGTCGGATGGAGGCCAATCTTTCAGCTTTAACATCTGAGGCCAGAAATTTGCGTAGTTTCTACCTTTCTTGTACCCTCTGAAAAACTCCCTAGTACTAATTTCAACCTGCATGCGTTAAAATTTGATGTCAAGACTTCATGTAGTGCACGCATCAGTTTGCTTGTATATTAGTGCTTATTTTCATACAAAGTAGGATGTATATACTGAAAACAAACTCCGAAAGCAAACTACAGTCTGACCACAATAAGTGTAAATTTCAGTCAAGAGCACATATTAAGGTTTACATGTTTGTCTTTGAACACTAGCAGTACAACCAAAACTGTCAAACATTGCAGATTACGATGACACAGGTCAAACAGCAACTTCCATTTACTTGGGCTTCCTAGAGTCAATTACTAAATGTCATCTCCAGATCCATTTTAGTAGAGCTTTAGGCAAACTAACAGTGTTTTAGAGGTCGGACAATATATAAGCACATTTAGCATCCTCTTACAATAAGAAACTCATGTTTAACTCTAAAAGCTACAAGCTTTTTTGTTCATTTTGGTGCCTGATCTATCTGCTGAAACAAACACCAACCTTGAGCATCAATATTGATCCCAACATACAGAAACTTTCGGAACCCCTTTATTGTTTAAGGCCAAAGCATAAACTGCCAGACTCGAATATATTTTATTTATACTGCCAAGTAAAATGAAATATTGATGTTGATCGATTAATGTTTTACTCAGTTATTGTTACTAACTTCCTACATCTTGGAACGTTCATTGAACTCTCTCCTGAAATCTCATACGAATATCACATTTTCGTACCTTGATTAACCATTCAGCCAAGAATTTCAGAAGGGTTGACATGAAATGCAGATTTTTAACAAGTCAGCATTGAATGGATTAAGGCAAGTGCAAAACTATAAACATAATATAAATGAGCAACCATCAAAAAGACAAAATAACAGATAGATTTAAGTAGGAACAGGAACATGAATTATAAAACTTAGATGATGTGAATTGCTACCTCACAATTAGCTAGACAATCAACTGCTTTGATCTGCGAGTCCACATTTTCACAAAGTGCTCGTGACATTACCATTGGCTCCCAACTCAAACCTAGTGTTTGAGACAAGGTGTCTTGAACAATTATTGGTTGACCTTTCCCCCAATATCTTCTAAAGTGTATTCTTCCATCATTAGTAAGCATTTCTTTAGCTAATGGGCAATATAGGTAATTATCGCCAGAATATTTTCTGGATGCTGCTTGTCGAGTAACCTTCAAATTACTTTTAGGGGTTGGTTCAACAAACTTGTCTTTTACAACCTTTTCTGCCCTTGCTTCCAAGTTCCATAACCATTGTAATGAAATAATCCTCCTTAATTCTAAAATTCCAACACCACAACCTCCTCGGTCCTTTGAAGGACAGGGAATTACATCTTCGTTAGCTGTCCAAGTACTTAATTTATGTGGCGCATCATATTGAACTGAACGGCATAATAAAGGATCGCCCCCATGAACGTAGTCATATCCCTTGTGAGTATATTTATGTTGAGTTATTTCAGGGCCACCCGAGAGCCTCCCTTGACGAATTTCTCGACAACAGCTCAAACACAATTCAAAAGAACAATTAGGGCAACATCGATGAAGATCAAATATTGAAGTTGCACATTGGTTGCTGTAAGAAACAAAGAACATAAGAGTTAAAACTTATAAGAAATGGTAATGCAGCACTATTTTTCATTAATCACTAAGATATTATAAACAAAAAAAAAGTACCAATAGATCCGCTCATCATCAAAGCTAGAAGACTCTTGTATATCCTCTTCATTGAGAATTTTGCCTGGACAAATATTATAATTAGCAAGATTAAAAAACAAAAAGAGTAATATTGCCTACGAAATGTAGGTATCATTGCATACCTAATATCTTGGATTCCAATATTAATTCTGAACGTTGTTCGTGTTGAATTTGTCTTATGAATGGGAGCAGCTTTGTAACCAAGTATGTGAGGTGCTGAACCTTTTCGTGGTCAACACTTTCTCGATTTAATGTCTGCTTAATAATATAAAACTTATTAGTAATATAAATAAGTATAACAATATGTCAATATGAATTCATATAAACTGTAATGCTATAATTGCTCATAACAGCATAGGTACTCACAGTGATCGAGTTCAAGGAGTGTAGACACTCGTTACAATTGCAAATTTCCCGACAGAAGGGGCAGGACAATGCAAGTTTCACCTCTGAAATGTGAGGATACCACTGCTTGATGCATCGCATACAATATTGCTTTTCCTTACAGTTTAAGCATGGAACGACAATTGGTCTATCATTTTTTTTACATTGATGGCAATTGAGCTTCTTCTCCATTTTTTCCTGTAACACACAAAAGCAAGTGATATTATATTTTGATTATTGCCTTATTGGCTAACAGAAAGTACGGATTTAAAACAAGTTATGAACCGACTTTAACTTACCCTTGTATTTCTCTTTACATCATATTTTGCGTTCAATGTTGAAATAGGCGAGGGTTGGGAGCCTGATGTGTGGGAAGAATGCAGCGAGTTATCAGAATCTTCAGAACAAGAACTCGACAAATCAATTATGTTCTTCCCCCAATTGTTAGGCTTACACTGCCTTGCTCTACCAGTACTTCTAGTTTTCTTAACCACTGGTCGAATTTGGTTCTTCCTTGTCAAATTTCTCTTTACACCAGTAGTCCTCTTCCTCGACCTCCTACACATCGAAATCTCAAAATCCTCATCATCAGACTCTTCCTCTACTTCAACACTCGCATCATCATCATCATCATAAGACACTTCCTCTACTTTAACACTCTCTACATCATCATTTGACACTTCCTTTACTTCAACACTCGCTTCATCATCATCATACGACACTTCCTCCACTTTAACACTCTCTACATCATCATCTAACACTTCCTTTACTTCAACACTCTCTTTGTCATCATAACCATCAGTTCCACAATCGCCAAACAAATAATTCTGTATTTCTCTACACAAACGCCGTTGTTTCAATGAAGAAACAACCTCGTCTATTTCCTTCTTTTGTTTCTCATCGGAATGCAACAGATCATCAAAACTCCTTTTAACCTTTCTCCTTTGCATACCTCTCCTCAAAGGCCTTTCGTTTGCAAACATCACTGACATTTTTCACTGAAAAAAAAATAAATCATCAATAACTTTAAAGTACACTAAATATCATAAAAATAAATTTAACTACTTTTACTTCATTTGTACATTTACCAGAATATAAGTCAATTTTAAGAATCCAAATTTAACTATTTTTGTATGGTACAGAAAAATAGCATATGATTCAATAAATTTATATTCTATGCTAAATTGAATTTATAAAACGACTTACATTTTTGTCAAAAACAATTATTTTAATTTGGATCGAACACAGAACATCCTAACACTATCAACATTATGAATAACAATAAAATAATATTCAACATCAAAAAAAAAAAAATCAATTAAGATCAAATTTATATCTAATCAATTCGTTAATCATATTAATTACATCAAAAAATTCCAACTATTTAATCTCAAATTATTCAATAACAGCTATAATCAACAAATTTCAATACATAAAATTAATAAGAATTGAATAAAGATAATCCGAATTTCAATCAATAAATTTCTTCACGAATATTAAAAGCTAGAACTTGAACCAAAAATTCATCTGATATCAACTATAATCACAATAAAAAAACAAGATAATCATACAGCATTAATAAAAAAAGATTAAAAAAATGTGAATTTCAATACACAAAATTTACAAGAATTGAGTTTATACCATTGAATATCAAAAATCAGAGTGCGATTACGATTGTTGTGAGTCGTCAGCTACAAAGCTGCCGCCTTAATCGGTTTTCCGACGGTTGATCGGCGACTGCGACGGCGACGGCGACGGAACTCCGTTAGGCGTTGATTGAGAAAGATTATTAGATGTTAGAATAGAAAGTAGGTGAAAATAAAGTAATACAGAGGAAAACTGTGGTTTATATATATATATTAGGAATTTAGGAGAAATAAAATCGCATCACTACTTTTCCTCAGAAAAAAAATATATAATAAAATCGCATCACTATGATTTTATCTTATTTTTGTTTTGTATAATTTTGTAAAGTTCGTGTATTACAAGATTATTCTGTATTTGATAAGTATCAATGTATAATATCTGAGTAATTGTAATTTTGAATAAATCTTATCTAATGTATTTTATAGAGAAATTAATAGAGTTAAGCTTCGTCAAATTAAAATCTCACGTGGTAATTAATGCTAAGTTACTTCATATGAGTTGTTTGTTGTACTTATTAAAATTCTTGGAGTAGTCCTATATTAACTAGGATCTTGCTAACGAACGCAGGTTGTTAATATGGAGTAGTCCTATAATAATATGGAAAGTTGAGAACGTGAGAAAAAGGTTAGCTTGACTTAAAAATATAAAGTCTTTACAAGCTGTTTAGTTTATTGAATTTTCCTAGTTTGAAAAGTAAAACAAACGGTGTGATGAAAACAATGTGCATCACAAATCCTAGTCAAGAGCGGAATTGTACTAGTGTTGTTGTGCATTAGGATTAGCGTTTAGGTGAAGCTGCCTTATGCCAACATGTTGCATGTGTGCTCCATAAATAGAGCATATGTATGCATCATATGGTTGTTGCACGGATTATGAGAATTTGTATACATCACGCACACACGCACCACTTGCATTCTATGGACGGTATATGGTATTTTCACGTGTTTTGCTTGTGCTAGCGTGTGTGATGGACTATATATGTCGTGGTAGCAATCGGGTTATTTGGATCGAGTTAGTTAATTCCTCTAAATAAAAAAATTTATTAACTCAAAAAACAAAATAAAATTATACAAAGTATATATTTATGGTCAATGTGGTAATCCTCTGAACTTTGAAAGATTAGACAGGTTTTAACATCATTTACCTAAAATCCTATGATTTTCTTCCCAAATAAAGGTTTAGTCCTTTAGGGTTCATTTGTGGCACCGGAGTACCAATCCGTAAACCCCAATTGAATTTAATTGTTGATGACTTGATGATGGTCCTAATATTGAAAACCCAAAAATATTGCCAAGTGGTAAAATTTTTATAAATCATGCAGAGCAGAAGATGCCAACTTGCCAAGGATCTTGAATAATAAAGGAAAAGATAAAAGGAAAAACAGCATTTATTCTTTTATTTATTTACTATGGAAAGCAAGAATAAGAGTAATTAATTGACAAATTAGGTTACGATCTTGTGAGAAGACATTCCTAATTTTCCCTGTATTTACTTTTTTTTTTTTTTTTTTTTAAAAAAAATGGAAATAATATGGAGTACTCACTAGCCTTATAAAAAGAAATATTCCTAAAAATCATTTCCTGTCAAAAAAAAAAAAAAATTGGAATGTGCCAAATAATCATCAGATTTTTTTAATTTTAATATTCAGGAAAAAGTGTGTCCCCAAGCAATAGAAATGCAGACTACACTACTACAGAGTGTTTCCTTACAAAAATCTATAGATGATTTATGGTAGAATTACATGTCAACCAATTACCATGTATCGCCACATACAAATGTAACCCTAATACGATTAAGGAATTTGGCAATAGCTAACGGAATTTGGCAATGCATAATAAAATTATGTGCAACCCTTATTCGATTAAAGGAATTTAGCAATGCATAATAAAATTACATGTCGATGTCAAGCTTAATTTTTGACTTTTAGCTTTCGCATTTTCCCTGATTAACTGATATATATATGTTGTTGCAAGTGTCAAAAGAGCAGATAGAAACACCATTTAGAACACCAATGCACAACAAGCCCAATGGGCAGTAGTCAAGATCCGCAGAAGCACAGCGCATAAGACATCTACAAAGTCTCGCAAGCCAGAGGCATCACTAACAGTCTCACGCCTCGGCTTCTCTATTAGGTTATCCTAAACTGGTGATATGGCAACGTGAAAAGTGAGTTGAGATAAAAACAGTAAACAAGCACAAAACTAAGAAGCATCCAGTATTAATATAAAATCAAGCTGAGTGCAGACAGTTTAACTAAAAGATATCAAACATAATTCTCGGAACAAAATTTTTAAAACCATTCAGAAGTCTAGAACTCGGGCAGAAATTTCAACATAGCTAAGAAGTTCTCCAAATAGAATTCCATATCTGATAACATAAGCAACTTTGATTGAAGACAATTATCGGTAACGGCGAAGGGAGAGTGTTTGGTTCCTCTTCCAGGTTGCACGGCGAGAAGGCCTGGCCTTGTGGTAACGGTGTCCTCTGCCACGGAGACCTCTGTTCTTCTTTCCTGCTGAGGTAAGACCACGGAGCTCTCTGTGCTTGTGCACTGGGTTGCAGACCCAGTTGACCCTTGGGTCGTTCCTGATGGCACTGTGTGCAGTGTCAACAAGAATGACTTCGAAGTACTTGTAGGTGGAATCCTGCAAGACAAAGGACATTACACAAATTTTGCAAGTAATACAAGAGCAATTTCAGTTTTAGATTGCTACTCTCGTAGATTAATACTTTTTCCCCCTATCCTGAAACGTTTTCCTTGGCAAGATAACATGGCCCAACTTTAGAGAGTTTTATATCACAATTTCAAGCAAAGTCATTCATATACAAGCCTATGTCAAGTCTATTTTAAGTTCAGGCATAATATTACATTCTTCAGCTAGTGAATTTATAAGCACTATGAACATCATAGAAAACCTAGTTATCACATGGTTCAAGCGATAAATGGGAATCCGATTCTCAGGGGTGAACAGGAATGAAAAACAAAAATATGACGAAAAAATTACAGATCAACAGCTTACCAAAACAAGAATTCAAGCATAGATGCTTGAAATTTTACAAAACCAAAATCAATAAAATTGAGCCATAAGATTGAACAAGAGAGGGAACAAACCTCATTGATCCAGTAAGAATTGAGGACCCTGAGGCCTCCCAATTTACGACCAGCACGCTCCTCAGCAACTGACCTCTTACTGCGCTGGAACTTCAATTGGGTAACTCCCTGGTTGGTGGGCTTACCATAGACGATACCCTTTGGCACTGGCCTCTTGCGACCACCTCTCCTCACACGGACACGGTAAACAACAAAACCCTACAATTGTGACAAAAGAACTTTCATAAGTAATGATGTAAAAACTGGAGTGCACAACTGCAGCACCTCTGCTCAACACTAGTAACAATTCCAGTGACATCGAAGCACAAAGCTATAAAGAAACAAGCTTGAGACAAAATAAGACCAATTTCCCTAACATCAAACCATAAGCTAACACAAGATAATGTTCAATTCAACTAATAATTCTACTGCATTGATCAAAAGGGGTAAGAAATATGATGATTATAACAAGCTTTACAACTACCCTACAGATAATGCAAACAAACTGGTGTTTGAAACAAACCACAACAATGCAAAATTCAACTAAAGAAAATGCTTTTCTTATTAAGAACTAATCATATTTGAGTTTGAAGCAGCATTACCAACTAACATGTAAATGCAATTAGTCCATACATATTAGCTACAAAAAACCTAATTCAAAAGAATTCCTGAAAAAGCCCTTTCATTTATAATTTCTAATGGCTAAATAATACTTCGCAATAGAACAAAAATCAATTAATCTGCAAAAAATACAGCAACAAAACCAAATTATTATCACTATACTTGTCAAAAATCATTCTTCAATGCACTCTTTTTAATCCAACCCAATATATATAATCATTCAGAAAAATGACATCTTCATCAACATCATTTCCGTCCAAACAAACTACATTCCTCCAAATCCACATTAGGGTTTAGAACACTCTCTCCTAAAACCAACTCATATTATCAATTAACACAAAAAATCGCGCTAAATCCAGACATAATAACATCATTTCCAATCAAAAAAATCAACCAAAATTCCACATTTCAAATCAAGCATTCAAAAACAACAATCATTCATCACAAAATACAACAATCAACTGAATAATCAAAGATCAACAAATTCAAAAATCATTCGAAAACAATAAAAAGAGGGAAAACCTGCTTGGCCTTGTAACCAAGACGACGAGCTTTGTCAGGGCGAGTAGGGTGAGTAACACGAACAATGGAAGGAAGCTGACGATACTCCCAACACCTAACTCTTTGAGTGAACCTCATCACATCGGATTGTTTCTTCCTCCATAGCTCTTGCATATACTTGTATGCACCTGCAATTTCATCAAATTTCCAGAATCAATAAGAAAATCATGAACAAGATTGAAGATGATAATCGAGATGAAAATGGAGGAGAGAGAAAGTTTACCCATGGCTGCTGCAACAGAGAGAGAGAGAGAGGAGGAAATTAGGGTTTTGGTGGTTCGGCCTAAAAATGAAAGGAGGAGGAATAAAAGGGGGGTTTAAGAGAGAGTTAGGGTTTTCTTTGTTGTTCTTTGGGCTTTCTTTTAATGGGCCAGACTTTTTTGGTCCATCCTTTTTTTTTTTTTAAATGTTTTTGAAAATCCGTTCTTATTTTGTTTATTTACTCTTTAACGATGCCAAATGTGCTAATTGAGCCTACGAGTAGTTATTAAGTTTGGAGTGGACAAATTTTTTAAGGTTTAAGAATGAAAATAATTAAGTAAAAAAAATTACTAAGTAATATTGAGAAGAAAATACTTGTAGCGAATATATAAAAATAAAAAATATATTTTACGAAGCAAGATAATACTAAGAGAACATGACTTCTTTCAATTAAGAAAAAAAAAAAGAGACAACCGTAAAAATGATTACGATTGTTGACCTTACTTTTGACTAAAGGGTGAATTTCATTATGTAACTTTTGAAGATTTTCACTTTATAGATATGTTATTGTCGGAGATTGAATATTAATATGGTGGTCATTTCATGTTAGTAATATATTACGTTAACATGTAAATGGATTAAGAATTTCTTATACTGGATTTTTATACTTAAGTAAGTAGTAGGAGTATTTATTTGTAAGCATTTTTTTAGCACTTGTGCATAGAAGTTCTATAAATCATTTCACCAACAAAAAAAATTGAAAAAC